CTCGAGAGAAAAACAAAGAGGATGAGCCCGCAGCCTCCTAGGAAGCAGAAGTGAAAATATTCGTCATCCTTGAGAAAATCTGAGGAAAGAAGAAAAAGGGGGGTTGCGTCCCTGAGAAAGAGCGAGAATGTAGAGAAACGGACCTCATTAAGAGTTTTGAACACAATATGGAATCTAGAAAGGAAGAGGCAAGTATTTATAAAAGCACCATGGGTACATTGAATAAAGCCAACCGCTGCAGTCAATGCTGAAATCTGCAGGAACGGTGCACGTAATGCGCCTTAATGTCTTGTATCTGTTCGCAAAGGCACCAGAGGAAGCAGAGGTTCAGAACCATTTCTTATCATTTCTTGTCACCTTCACTCTAAGAAATGCAGAGACTATCTGTACACGGCGAATCCGGGGGCCTGATTTCCCCGTCATAGAACCATCTCGCGGTCATGCCCCTCGAAGCTCGAAGCCAAGGTCGAGACTCATCCTCAAGGTTCGACATATATCGGTCCGAAGGATATTGCATTCTGACAAATACAGAAAGCTATAGCAGGCGAGAGGGGAGTTCCCAAGCCACGTGGCTTAACCTGACAAGGTTGGTCTATCCGGGGCCTATTTTCAAGATGTCATGTCTAGCCATCCTATCTTCATACCTTTACAGTTAACACATCTTGTATTATAACGGATTCCCCTCCTATATAAAGACGATCCCCATCACTTTGTAGGCTCGGCTAATGTTGCTCCATATTCTGCACAAGTGCAATAATATCTCTCCCTCTCTCTCTCTCTTCTTTCTAATTTGCTCCTTCTCACCGGCCTGAGGCCACTTTAATACACATCATTATCTTACTTGTTCTTCATCTTATCACTTGGTATTGGCCATAAAGAGCTTTATTTAATCATATCTTAACTGTTATCCCATTCCTGATTGCCCCCGAAAGCTCGTTCTCTCCTGAGCTCCAATTTGATTTTTCCAAGTTTTGAACTAAACCCTCGATTTTATCCCTTTTCTGACCAGTGAAACCACATCTGCGGTCCTGCTCCTGCGAAGACCCGGTCGCATCTGCGACATTTCATTAAAGGGGGATTTTCCGCACCTGCGACTTCATTACCGCAGATGCGAGCCGCTTCTGTGGTGCCCTGACTGCATCTGCGGTCAACTCCCTTTTTGCCTTAAACCGCTTCTGCGGTTCTTCTACCACTTCTGCAGTCTCGCACCTGTGGTCCCCAAGCCGCAGGTGCGGTTATGACAGCAGATTTGAAGCTTCAACTGCAAACTCTCAACTCCAAACTTCCCGTTAACCACCCAAAATCATCTCGAGGCCCCGGGACCTCAACCAAAAACACAGACAAGTCATATACCACTATCCAAACTTATACAAATCTCCACAACACCTCAAACAACATCAAATTAACCAATTAACATCGGATTCAAGCCTAAGAACTTCAAAAACTCTCAAAATACGCTTTCGATCAAACAGTCCATCAAACCTCGTCTGAAAGACCTAAAATTTTGTACACATGTCACATTCAACACTACGGAGCTACCCTAACTTCCAAAATTCAATTCTGACCCTCGAATCAAAATCTCACTATCGAACTGAAAACTTCAAAAATTCAACTTTCGGCATTTCAAGCCTAAATTAGCTACGGACCTCTAAAGCACAATCTGAACACGCCCCCAAACTCGAAATCACCCAATGGAGCTAATGGAACCATCGGAATTATATTCTGAGGCCGTCTTCATACTCTTTCAACTACGGTCAAATTTTCAAAACTTAAGCTCTCATTTAGGGATTAAGTGTCCCAAAACTCTCCGAAACTCCAAATAAACCCTTCCGGCAACTCACAATAGCAGAAACAAACATGGAAAAAGCAGTTAATAGGGGATCGGGGCGTAAATTCTTAAAACGACCGGCCGGGTCGTTACACTAATACCATGTCATTTTTGTTATAGATTATTAGGTCATTTCAAGTCTCTTGTAGGGAACAAAGCACAACCAAAAGGTTCCATTGCTAAAGGTTACATTGTTGAAGAAGCTCTGACTTTTTGTTCTCGTTATTTTGAGGGTATCGAGTCAAAAATAAATAGGACTAAACGTGTAAACGATGAGCTAAATCATAATAAGGCTTCTGAATCTTTGTTTCCTCAACTGGTAAACCTGTTGGAGGCTCCACAATATTTCCCTTGTCTCTTTTGGAGAAGCCTCAAGCTCATCGATATGTGTTACTTAATTGCACAGCGATGAAGCCATTTATTGTGTAAGAAGTTTATTGTAATTAAATTTTTAACAAAAAATTTAAAGTGAAATGATTAAATTAATTTAGATGATTCCTTTGTTGTGAATTTAGGAATCACATTAAAAGGAATTCAAGAGGTCGAAGACCTTCTGAAACAGAGGTAGAGAGAAGAGTTAGTAAAAAGTTTCCTGATTGGTTTCCAAAATGAGTGAGTGAATAGTATTTCTAATATCTATGTATGCATAAGTTGTATTAATTTGGATTATTTAACAAAAATAATTTTGTTTGTTTAGATCATGAATCCAGATATAGAAAACACAATATCTACTAATTTGGGGTTCTTAGCACGAGGTCCAATGCCAGATGCAAGAAGGTTTACTGCATATAACATTAATGAATTCAAGTTTCGTACTGTGTCTATAGAACACGGATTGGAGACTCAAAATAGTGGAGTTTTTCTTAGCTCTGACACCTCTTGTATTGCTTCTAATGCTGATAGAAATGCAAGGCAAGCAGAATTGTCATATTATGGGAAGTTGGAAGATATAATTGAGCTTAATTATTATGGACAATTTACGGTTGTGCTCTTCAAATTCCAGTGAGCTAACACTACTCGGGATAGAGGGTTCAAAAGAGATGTTTGGAAGTTTAATTGTGTCAATTTTTCTAGATTGATTCACACGGGTGATCGTGAAGACCATGATCCTTATATTGAAGCATCTTAAGCAAATATGGTCTATTATGTTGATGATGAAACTGATAAAGAATGGAGTGTTGCTGTGCATCTAAAGCCAAGAGATCTGTTAGACATGGGAGATGTTAATGAAGAAGAAATATACGAGAATGAGCCATACCAACAGCAAGAATTGGAGCAATTTTTTGATATTAGTTATGAGAATATCCAAATTGCAATAGAGGAGCATATGTCAGACTAGGAATTAGGATATTTTATATGAGCGAGAAAAATAATTTTCATGTACTGGATGTTAATTTTTATACTTGTGCCAAGTGTTTTTTTCAAGTTTAAAACTTTTCGTTTTCTGAAGATGAATATATCTTTTATATTCCTCCAGTAAGCAATTACTTTCTTCGAGTTTAAAGCATTATAATATAGAAACTATTGCAAGGTGTGGTCGAGATTGCAAGTAATTACATTATTTAATTGTTTCCTCGTACCAACTAACATGGTGATTTTTCAATCTTTCACCATTCTGGTATACAGTTTCATGTAGTTTATTTAATGATTGCAGATATGCCAAGGGCCAAACATTACCAAAACTTGCAAAAGTCAGTTCAGCCAGCTTCTACTTCACAAGGTGTAGCAAAACCTTTATCAACAATTGAATCAACACCTTCACATCGTGATGATACTCTGTAGTTGGTATCATTTTTTCAACCGACATCACGACCGGCACATTCAGTCCAAGCCACAACACATCAGACTGCATCAGTTCAGACAACATCATTGCCGACCCCATCAATTCATGCCACATCACAACCGCTCCCGTCATTTCAGGCTGCAGCACAGCCGACTCATTCAGTTCAAGCCACATCACAATTGAATCCTTACGTACATGCAGCATCACAGCTGACACAATCCAAAAAGCGTCCTGGACATGAGTCTTTGCAACATTGGACAGTTGATGCAATATGTAATTCTTTTCTTGATTTATTCAAGTGTCACAATCTAATTTCCTTAATGCTAAATATTATGAAAAAGACTAGTTTTTCATAATATAGCCTTGGACAGTCAAAATAGCTTATGTTTTTCACCAGTTTTGTTGTTTCGTCGTACCAACTAACATGGTGATTGTTTGATCTTTCACTATTCTGGTATATAGTTTCATGTAGTTTATTTTATTGATTGCAGATATACTAAGGGCCAAGCGTTACCAGAACTTGCAAAAGTCAATTCAGCCATCTTCTAGTTCACAAGGTGTAGCACAGCCTTTATCAACAACTAAATCTACACCTTCACATCGCTATGATACTCCATAGTTGGTATCATTTTTTCAACCGACATCACGACCGACACATTCAGTCCAAGCCACAGCACATCAGACTGCATCAGTTCAGACAACATCATTGCCGACCCCATCAATTCATGCCACATCACAACCGCTCCCGTCATTTCAGGCTGCAGCACAGCCGACTCATTCAGTTCAAGCCACATCACAATTGAATCCTTACGTACATGCAGCATCACAGCTGACACAATCCAAAAAGCGTCCTGGACATGAGTCTTTGCAACATTGGACAGTTGATGCAATATGTAATTCTTTTCTTGATTTATTCAAGTGTCACAATCTAATTTCCTTAATGCTAAATATTATGAAAAAGACTAGTTTTTCATAATATAGCCTTGGACAGTCAAAATAGCTTATGTTTTTCACCAGTTTTGTTGTTTCGTCGTACCAACTAACATGGTGATTGTTTGATCTTTCACTATTCTGGTATATAGTTTCATGTAGTTTATTTTATTGATTGCAGATATACTAAGGGCCAAGCGTTACCAGAACTTGCAAAAGTCAATTCAGCCATCTTCTAGTTCACAAGGTGTAGCACAGCCTTTATCAACAACTAAATCTACACCTTCACATCGCTATGATACTCCATAGTTGGTATCATTTTTTCAACCGACATCACGACCGACACATTCAGTCCAAGCCACAGCACATCAGACTGCATCAGTTCAGACAACATCATTGCCGACCCCATCAATTCATGCCACATCACAACCGCTCCCGTCATTTCAGGCTGCAGCACAGCCGACTCATTCAGTTCAAGCCACATCACAATTGAATCCTTACGTACATGCAGCATCACACACGACACAATCCAAAAAGCGTCCTGGACGTGAGTCTCTACAACATTGGACTGTTGATGCAATAGGTAATTCTTTTCTTGATTTATTCAAGTGTCACAATATAATTGCCTTAATGCTAAGTATTGTGAAAAAGACTAGTTTTTCATAATATAGCCTTGGACAGTCAAATTGTTGCACACATTGGTGGCTCCAAACCAAACTCCAGAAGAAGAGCTGAAATGGTGATAAATGTTAATGCAATTTATTTTACTTTAATTAAACATGCAAACTATTCCTATTTAGTTAAGTTTACTGACTTGAATTTTCATTTATAGATGGCTGAATCTGGACAAAAACCTGGACGAGCGCAACTCTACCTTGCTACTCATAAGAAGGAAGATGGCTCATATGTTAATGAAGCGGCAAGAGAAATATGTGTAAGTTTCTACTTGATAAAAGACATTTCTTTCTGGAGTAGTGAATGGTAACAGCTAGTTTGAATGATCATCTATATAGTTAGTTACAAAGATCTGTTTGCTGCAATATGAAACAATCATATTGGGACCTTGGGTATAAGAACTTTAAAAAAAAAAAAAAAAAAAAAAACTTGACAAGAAAAGTTAACTGAAGGAAACTATTAAAAGGCAAGACTCCACAAAGCAAAAACTGCGTACGAGTTTAATGATAGTTCAAAAGTCCCAAGTACTCTTATTTTGTCTCTACAAGTGTATCTTTTATTTTTCTTATGTTGTCAATTACTAAAAGGTCTGGACTCGAAGAGGGAGTCGATTCACGTACTTCACCATTTCCTGGGTCGTTATCGGAAGTTATGACAATGAATTTTGTGTATATTATATTTAGGAAAAAATTGAGCTAATTGTAAGTCAAAGCGCCACAGATGAGTCTAAAGTTTCAACAAATGATGTCGTCGGTAAGGTGCTAGGAAAAGAGCATTCTGGAAGGGTAAGGTGCTTGGGGTTAGGAGCTACCCCGAGTAATGTTTTTAGACAAACAAGACGCCGTTTTGGAGGTATAAATACTTCCAATTGTGATAATGGTTCATGTTTATCCCAATGCGAAGAGAAATACAATCAGATTTTGAATGCTCACAATCAAAGCCAAGAGAACTATGCTCAAATGATGACTGCACACTACCAAATGATGAATGCTTTCAAGGCATATATGATTATGAAAGAAGGGACAATACCTGAACAATTTGCTGGGATCTTTGTTTCTCTCTCCTCCTGCAGCGGTAAATAAAATCTAGTTATATGCAGTTTTTTAATTGGAAAAACTAAAAATAAACATTAATGCTTTTTATTTCTTCGCAACCAAGTGATGTAGCTAGCGGGTCCATTTCACCTATGGGTGTAAGAAGATCATCCGGTGATAGTAATCTTAATAAAAATCATTGAGTTTCCTTGCAAATGTATTAGATGATTAAGTATGATACTATAATTGAATGGTTGAACTAGATGTTTTGTCTAAAACTCTCTGCTGAGTATTCACAATGCATTTTTGAAAGGCACATAACTTGAAGAAATTTACTTGAAATATTTCTTTTTGTATTCTGTAGTATCCTTTTTAAAGGTTCTTCAGCCATCTCCAACATTATAAATGTTGAAGAGAATGTTGTCTCTTGTGTTCATTAACGAAGAGGAAACTCCAAAGAAAATCCCCATTACATTGTTCAAATAACCTTTACTTTTGTGACTGCTGTGGGGATACTGCAGGATGATGTGTTCTCTTGCTATAATCAAATGTTATACCTTAACAAGAAAATATGTAAGTCATACAAGTGCTTAGTATCTCCTCAATTGTCACCTAATCAACTGCTGAGGAATGGTAAATTAGAAAAATCTTTAGTTCCATCCAAAAGAAAGAGCCTCACTTTCCTGGAGATTGACCAAATTGATGATAAACCCCAGCAGAAGCGTCAATGCACAAGTAATGTTGGCAAATAAAGCACGAGTTCAACTCCAATCAGTTGGGTTATAAGGGTCTCAACCGTTAAAGAAATATTAGTAGGAGTTGTTGGTTTTAGTATTTGTTGAATTTATTGTTTATTAATTTATATTTTTGTTGTTTATTCATCTCAAGCTTATTAGGTAATGTGTAGTTGTTACAGCTCCCTCAGGTCTCTTGTACCTCTTTTGCGAAAAAGACGTATTACCTTTCTAGCATATATTGCCGAGGTTGAAACCGCCGAAAATTAACTATGTAGCGGGGTTTTCAACCCCCGTTTTATATTTTCTATATGTTGCTAAATTGGTTAAAATTTTAATTTAAGGGGGGTTAAATCGCCAAAAAATAACCTCTGTTAAATGGTTATGGCGGGCTGTAAAAAACTGCCACAAAATGATAGGGGCATACCTTACAACCGGGGTTTTGGAGACCGCCGCAATGTCAATTAACAGGGGTTGTTGACCGCAGCAAAACATAAAAATAACCTTCGCAAATAGACTATTTTTTTGTAGTGTTATATCTTACATGATAAAGGGGTTCAATTTACATTGATACAAGAACTAAAGTTATAACTTAATTCATTTAGTTCATGAATATTTAGGCTTAACCTGTCCAACTTGTGAATTCTAACTCAATATGCACAAATTAAGTCCACACGTTTCAAGTTCGCTCAATTAACAGATTTAAACAATCGTCAAGTACACCCCCAAGTTATAATAGTCGACACCCATTAATTTTTCACCATCTTTCACCATCACGCTTATATCCAAAGTTTCAAGTACTCGGAACGGAGAAATAACTGATAAACTGTCACGACCCGGACTTCCTACCCTCGGGAGTCGTGATGGTGTCTGCTCGTGAAAGCTAGGCAAGTCGAGTGTTATAGATCTTATTACCTTGTTTCCTTAATCTTTTAACAATTTCAAATTAACATGCGATCAACAGCGGAATAGTAATAATAATAAAAGAAATGCGGAAGATGAAATCTGATAACTTAACCAAATATTGGTGTGAAAAATACAAAATACAACTCTACCCAGAACTGGTGTCATAATATTACGGACCATCTACGAATACTACAAACAGTTGTCTGAAAAGAAAGATACAAATATGTCTCTGAAGTAAATGAAAACAGAATATAAAAGATAGAAGGGGACGCCAAGGCTTGCGGACGTCTGCAGGTCTACCTCGGGTCTCCGCTGGACTGAAGGCAGCAACCTCGCTATGGTCCAAAAGCTACGGTACCGAGATCTACACACAGTGTAGAGTGTAGTATCAGCACAAGCGACCTCATGTGCTGGTAAGTGTCGAGCCTAACCTCGGCGAAATAGTGACGAGGCTAGGACAAGACTACTAAATAAACCTGTGCAGTTAAAGCATATACGATAAATAATAATAATGAAAACTAGCAGTTAAAGATGGGAAGAGAAAACATGCTGCAGGGAATATCAAGTACCAACAGAATCTCAGGAGAAAAGCACAAAGAACATCTCAAATTTTGCATTAGTAAGAATAAGGAAATCAGTAACGAATCAATATCAACTTTTATTCTTTATTGTTGCGGCGCGCAACTCGATCCAAATCATATAATACTGTTGCGGCATGCACCCCGATTCTAATCATATATCACTGTTGCGGCGTGCAACCCGACCCCATCTGTCCTTTCTTATTACTCCTTGTTGCGGCGTACAACCCGATCCCATATAATATTGTTGCGGCATGCAACCCGATCCCAATATACAAATCAACATCAATCACAAAAGAATCCCGACAAGTGAACAATAATAAAACAACAATATCTCGGTAAGGGAAACAATATCAACCAATTCTGTTTCAATAGTTAATTCATAAAATAAACCTCAACCCGAGCCAATACTTGACCATTTCCAATAACTAAGAACTCATCATAATTCTTGTACCACGGTTGCTAACCATCCAGTTAAGCATCATAAATACATAATATAATCACAACAAATCCGAATATAAGACTCACGGGCATGCTTGACACTGACGTATAAATACTCATCACCTCACCTATACGTCGTATTCAACACCAACACATAGCAAATAAGACACAACACATATTCCCTCAAGCTAAGGTTAGGCCAAACACATATCTCGAACTTCCACAGCCAACTCAAACCTCAAACACCGCTTTTCCTTTAGAATTCTCCTCCAATTTACTTGTATCTAGCCCAAATTAATTTAGCAACATCAACAAATGCTAAAGAATTCATACCCAATGCTTAATTATAGGTTTTCTATCATTTTCTCCAAAAAGCCAAAAATCGACCGCGGGCCCGCTTGGTCAAAACTCGAGGTTCGGACCAAAATCCGATCACCCATGATCCCGAATATGCAATTAGTTTCGAAATCCAACCCCAAAACGAGGTCTAAATTCCAATTATTCAAAAAGCCCTAATTCTACCCAAAATCCTTAATTCTACCATGGAAGAACAATATTTAGGCCTAGAAATCTAATGGGTGTTGATGGAAAATGAAAGAGATGGGTTTAGGAACACATACTTATGATTTGGTGTTGATTTTGCTCTTCAAAAATCGCCTAGGTTCCGATTTTGGGGAAGGAGATGTGAAAATATGACTTATTCCCGGTTCTGCTACTATTTAAAAGAGTTGAGCGACAGTATTCATTGCGTGAGCACTGTCGTGTTCGCAAAGAGATGCCAGTGGTGGACTTATGTGATCGCGGGAGAAGCTTCGCGTTCGTGAAGGCTTAGCCCAGCACTGCCTTCGCGTTCGCGTAATTCTCCCTAGGTTACCTGACCAGCCCATTCCAAAGCTATGCATTCGCGATTGACCGGTCGCGTTCGCATAGAGCAAACCCCCCAATGCTCCGCGTTCGCGACCTGGGTCTCGTGTTCGCACAAAAGGTCTGTGCACCATAAGCAGCAAAACCCGCAATTTTCTAAGTGTAAAAACATCTCGTGGCCTATCCAGAACTCACCCGAGCCCTCCGGGCTCCAAACCAAACATGCACACTAACCTAAAAATATCATACGGACTTGCTCCCATGATCAAATCGCCAAAATAATGCCTCGAACTACGAGTTTGGCATCAAAATCAAAGAAAAATCTCAAGAACTTTTAAGTTTTAAATTTCACAACCGAGGTTCCGATTCACGTCATATGAAGTCCGTTTCTTACAAAATTTTACAGGCATAACTTAAATACCATATAAGACCTGTACCGGGCTCCGGAACCAAAATACGGGTCAGATACCATCAAATTCAAATACATTTAAATTTCCAAAAACTCTTATAATTTCAGTTAAACAATTTTCTTCAAAAATTCATTTCTCGGGCTTGGGACCTCGGAATTCAATTCCGGGCATACGCGCATGTCCCATATTTTTCTACGGACCCTCTGGGACTGTCAAATCACGGGCCCGGGTCCGGGTTCGTTTACCCAAAATGTTGACCGAAGTCAACTTAAATTCAATTTTAAAGCCAAATTACCATTTTTATCAAATTTTCACATGAAAACGTTCCGGATATACGTCCAGACCGCGCACGCAAATCGAGGTGAGATAAAAGGAGACTTTTAAGGCCCTGAAACACATAATTAACTTGTAAATCAAGTGATGACCGTTTGGGTCATCACATAAACTAGCATAAATAATGTTATTAATTACACGACATCAACTATTCTGATATTTTTGAAATATTGATACCATAACTTTAATTTAAGTGGGGGCATGCTATCTTAATCCAAATGTATTTACATAGTTGAAAAGCTGTAATATTTAATAAAGAATACTTCTTTTAAACCCAAAGGATGCTCATTCATCCCATCCGTAACCAAGAGTAGAAGATGATTTGAATTTGTCAGAATGTCAATGAACTCGGTAAAGTATGCTTTATTCCAAAATTTATTCTTTAATTTATATATGATGATACCCACAACAATAAAGATGTAAGTAATACTCTATTACTTATGGATTGCAGGTACCTTCAGCGACAGCTGGATGATTCCATCATACTATTTATGTACTGGGAGCAAAATAGGATGACTGATATACTCGCCAATTTTAGTTGCACCATGGACAGCTCTGAAGACTTTCTTACTTACACAACTCTGCCATCTAAAGTACAAACGGCTTTGGAAGAAGATCGATTAGGAATGTTGTTTGTTAGACACATAGTACCTACTACTGAATATGTCCTGCATCAACCTGACGCCTCTTTTTGTACAACTCATATCAGGGGATTAGATAGTCCTAGCTCCACCCCCTTCCCACTTTTTGTAACGACCCACCACGAGGTCTGTTTAACCAAAAAATAGAATTTTAATCAAAACTAGAATTTAGAAGAACGCGAGTTACTGATAATCAAAA